ATGGGAAATTTAGAGAGCAAGCTTATATGACAAAGTTTGAGAATTAGAGATATTAGAACTAGTACACTAATAAGTTAAAATTAAACTGTACTTTGAGTAGGTAAGACTCAATGCAGATATTTTTGCCATGACTGTTGATATTGAAAACAGCAACAGCTCTTTTGGTTGGGATGTGTAAATATGTGTGATTTCTTTAGAATCAAGCACTTCTGTCTATGCAACAAATAGTCAAAGTTAAGTAATAAGAGGAAATTTAGCAGTAGTGGATAATTCCAAAAACAAGAGGTCTTAAAACTGTTATAATGGTTACTGGTTTTACAGTGGCCTAAACCGCTTAAATTTATTAAAACTTAGACTGAGTTGAATGAACTGGCAAAAATAAAAGAATATACTATTGTTAATTTGGGTTTACAAAATTCAGTAGTGAGCTCAAAACTGCCACTATAAGGAGCAGCAAGAGAATTGTTTAAGGTAGAAGATAGACCCATGCAGAAGGGGAACCAAGGACCTTTTGTATTATAGCCATCATTTAGGAGATAAGATCGTCCAAGAGGATGACATGATCTAAGATGCTGCTCGCTCTCTATGGAGATCACAGGGCAAAGCAACAGAATAGAATGACAAAAGCTGGGAACGGATGTGAATTGCAAATTGTTTTTGGAAGTTAGTAATAACCTATAGAATACAATTGAAGCTACAAACACTTTTTTTTTTTTTTTAATTTTATTGGGGAACAGCCATGGTCATTGGTTACACATTGCTTTCATGCCACAATGGCATACACAGTTGACTCTTTTAAGAAGGGCACAGCTCACAGTGGCCCATGCAGGGATTGAACCGGCTACCTTGGTGTTATTATCAGCACAATGCTGTAACCAACTGAGCTAACCAGTCACCCCTACAAACACTTCTGTGCTTGTTTCTAGAACTCTTTTTCCTCTTAAAATATTGTACTGAATGTTACCATTTTTTAAAAAAAACTTTACTAGGTAACAGTGTGTTTTTTTCCAGGACCCATCAGCTCCAGGTCAAGTTGTTGTTCTCAATCTAGTTGGGGAGGGTGCAACTCAGCTCCAAGTCCAGTGCCGTTTTCACTCTGGTTGGGGGGGGGGGCAGCCCACCATCCCATGGGGGGGATTGAACCAGCAACCTTGTTACGATCACGCGCTCTAACCAACTGAGCCACCCGGCAGCCCCTAAATGTTACCATTTTTTAAAAAATTCCTCAGTATTAAGATGAAGTTGATGGAATTGATATATAGATATCATATTAAGGTGAGGCAGCATCATAGTAATGTGTCCTCAGTTTTGAACCTGGATTGAGGAGGAATAGTCTAGCCTTCTCGCTGAGCTCCGGAGTTCTGTGGACAGTCTTTTTTTTCCTGAGTTCCTATGTTCTTCACAAGATGGGAGAAAATATTGCCTTAAAAGGACATTAGAGTGTGCAGAATTGTTTTATATGACAGAAAGATAGAGAAGGCCACACATATTGAAAAAGCCCCTGGAGTTACACAGAAAAGGACAGATAGTAGAAAGCAAAGGCAGTGAAATAGCATGTGGTAGCCCACTTCGTACTCTGGGGCAGGAAGGTGATTAAGAAGCGACTTCTTGGTCAACAAAGTTTATAATGCAGGAAAGACTTCCAAAAATGAGCCCTTTCCTATGAGTATAGTATACTTGAATTGTCAAGTTGCAACTTTAATTCCCCATAACGTCTTGATCTAAATACTGTAAGGGTTTGTGAAAGGGAAGTTGCTTTCGAAGTTCACCCATGGCTTGTTTAATACACCTCTACAAGTAGACATACAGCTGGTATAGAGCATTCAACCCAGGAGATAAAACGTCAGTCCTTTGACACATGCTTTGGTTTGATGATTTCTAATTCATAGCGCCTTGAATGAGCCCTTGTTAGTACAGTAGTTATTTTAAGTCACTGGCTACAGATGCTCTGATGTCACCTTTCCTTAAGAAGCTAGTCACTGTGTTCTGCATGGAAAAATGTTTGCATCATCTTAGAGCAATAAGTGGGCCACAGTAATCTCAACTCATTCTCTAAAAATAAAAGCTTACACTTACAAAGTGCTTACTACTTACCAGGCACCACTCTAAATGTTTTACATATAATCCTCCCAGCAACTTTGTGAGGTAGATACTGTCATTACCCTCATTTTAACAAATGAGGAAGGAAAGTGACAGAGAGGTTAAGTAAGTATAAACACAGTGTAAACTTCCAGTTATGTTAAAACAGTCTTTGAGGAATCTTTGGGAATCCTTGCTTCTGTGTGGAAGGACTCCATTCGATCTACTTCCCTTTCAGTGATAGCTGCCGTAAACTTTAGGTACTGAGATTGCCTTAAAGTTAAATCAGCTCCACCGCCTTATCATTTTGTTCTTATTCAAAAATATCCCTGAGAACAGACTTCAGGAGAATTATTACANCGCCAAATCTGTCCTCGCGCAGACGCCGCGCCGGGCGCCGAAAGAGGCGGACGCCCTCCACTAGGTGCGCCTGCGCAAGTTCCCACGCACGCTCCGGCGTACGGCGGCGGCCAGGGGTCGCGAGCCGGTGGAGGACCCGCGCGCGGGGGAGCCCGGAGAGTCAACGCTTCTTCCCTCCCTCCCCCATTCCCCTCCCCGCTCCCCTCCCCCCCTTCCCCAAGAATGTTCCGCTACGAGGTAAGCTGTTGCGACCGGAAGTGGCCCCTCCCTTTTTCACGCGCCCCTTTTCCTCTCTCATCCCCCGCGCGTCTTTCCCGTGCTCCTGGGGAGGGTGGGGGCAGGCGGTGAGACCCACGGGACCAAGAGGAGTGTGTTGGGCCTGGGCTCGTGGGTTTAATCCGCGAGCTGTGAGCTGGCTGCAAGGGGCGGGACTGCCCTATCAGTTGCGGCTGGGGAGAGTTGGCCTCTGTTTTGGGGTGGGGAGGGCCCGTTAAGTGCCGTAACCCGACCACCCGCCAGCCCCACCCCGGGAGGAGCGGCGGAGGGGACAGCCTTGCACCCGTTGGGTGGCTCTTAAGAGCCACCCGGGAAAGCCCAGAGACTCGTTTCCCGCCCGGGACCCGGAACCACCTCCCCTCCAGTTACACCCATACACACAGGCAGCCATCGGGTCAAAGGGGCTTGGACTTGCCTTTTAACTGGGCAGGAGACTGTTTACCGAATTGGGCTCCGAGTTGGGAGGGGGCGTGTCCAGAAGAAGTTCCTTCTGAGCGAGTAGAGGGAGATATGCGAGTTTGGTGATGGTCCCGGTAATGTAGCAATAGTCGAGAGTCCTGACTCTGTCACTGATTCACTGTATGACCTTGAGTGACTGCTAGTCTCTGGACATAAACTTTCTGGATTTGTAGAATAAAAGCGCTGGTTTGGATAATCCCTAAGAGCCTTCCCAATTTAAAAACCAGTGATTTGTTTAATTAGATCTTTGTGATTTGGGGAAGGAGTGCCGCTTAATGTTGCATCTTATGTAGAGGCAGTTGCATGCCTGCGTTGTGTAAATTTGGGCTTACGGTGGGTAGAATGGCCCTTTGGCCTCACCTTTCCTTTGGGAACAGCCTCGCTGAGATAGCTAGACAAAGTATATCACAACCTGCCTACTGGGAGCGTGGAATGCCGGTTCTGAGTCTTTGGAAATTGTGGACACATATACTTGATAGGAAATGGTTTAAGACCCAACTAACTTCATGTAAACATGGAGAGAGATGATGAGATGCGGTAGGCAGTTGCGCAAAAAAAAAAACAACAAACAACAACTTGACAAATAAACTGGAAATCGAATTGCAGGGAGGAATGTTTAAAATAGAACCCACCTAAGTTGTTATGGTCATATCTAGTATTGTTGAGCAATCCACACTCTTTGCCTAAATCTGTGCCTCACATGATCCTCAACTATGAGGTAGGTGGTATTGTTCCTGTATTACAATTGAAGAGACTGAGGCTAAGAGCCTAACAAAGCCTGAGACACAATAGGTGCTCAAGAGGTAATATTTAAAGACTTAATCTCAAAGAATGACTTGCCCAAGTTCACAACACTTTTAAGAGTGGAGCCAGAACTTGAACTTGCCATATCACAACTTTTTGAGAGTTCAATTAATGGTGGTTGAAAATTTACCTTTCTGTTTTATAACCAGAGTTTGGGCCTGTAGGAAACAGAAGGGAAGAAAGATGGAAAATTAAGAGAAAGACTTAAACTGGAATAATAAAATAGTTAAAAAGATGACGTGAATATAGGGAAGATGAGAATTTTGTTGACAAATATACGTAAAACTGAAATGAAGTAATATAATAAAGTGTTCATTTTCTGTTGTCATTACTATTCTAACCAGTGAAGTAAAGAAGTTGGCAGGCCATGAGGAAATGCTGTTAAGAGTCCTGGTAGAGAAATGGGAGGTTTTAGGGAAAACGTTAAATGAAATAAGATATGGGAAAGAGAAACTGAAAGAAGATACTGAAATTTTCCAATGTTGGGGAAATTAGGGAATAGAAAACAATGTCATCTTTACAAAAAGTCATAATGAAGCTATTATGGTGATTGGGAAGGTAAGATGAACATTTTTAGAACATCTTAAATGAGGTTGTGAACTTCATGAACAGTGAAATCTCTTCTCTTTCTTTAGTCTTTGGAGGATTGTCCTCTGGATGAAGATGAGGATGCATTTCAGGGCCTGGGAGAGGAAGATGAAGAGATTGATCAATTCAATGATGATACATTTGGGTCAGGTGCAGTTGGTAAGTGACATTTTTCTCTTATACCATCTTGGTCTCTTACTCTTTTCAAATGCTCTCTTTTATAAATGCTTTGTCTTAGTAGAAGTAACCTTAGTCACTAATTTAGCAAAATATTCTATTCTTAGTTTTAGAATAGTCTACAGTCTTGAATGGACGCTTCTACCCTTCTCCTCTGGCCTCTTTGCCTCACTTATAAAACCAGGTGTTCTCTAAGCCCTGTCCCTTCCAGCTGTGTGAGCTATTGCTCTAGACTGACTATAAGGAATTCATGTGGTTGGAGAAGTAGACATTTGACAAAGGTTTAAAATAATCCTAGAAGAGGGAAATTTTTATTTGTGGAACATGTAACCTAAGGAAAGCTAGTGGACTAGCAGAAAACTCAGATTCGGATATGT